AAAATTATTTTCCTTAATATAATGTGACTTAGAATCATAAGGGACATGATTGAAATCATTTACAGTAACCATTAAGAATAAGATTCATTTTTATTAGTTGTTCAACTTCACACACAGTTTTGTGTTTAGTTTGGGTAAATATGTATATATAATATCCTCATGGCTAAAACAGAAAGTCACTTTTTAAATGACAATAGATTGTAACAATCTGGGTGCTGTAAGATAACTGACAAAACATGCAATGTAGAATACCAACACAGAAAGGACCGTCTGCAATTCAGTTGTCCAGAACAGAATGTTTATGAACTGTGCAAATATTTAATGTACATGGTGATACCTGCAGAGCAGAAATAGATGAGTCGAGGATGCATCAGTGGGACAGGCTAAAAAAAAAAAAGAAAAACTTGAAATTTTTGGTGCCTAACACTAATGGTCCATTTGTAGGAAACCCCATGAGTATGGTATATGAATGTCTTTTTTTAAATGTTAAAATGTGTCGTCTATTTAATACAATAATTAAATGCACATCAAAGCATCACTGTTTATTTTCTTTTTCCAGATTGCATGTGTAAGTAGCTTTGCAAATGTAAAGAAGTAGTAGATATTTTCACTTAAGTTTTTGATACCTAATTCCATTCCACAAGTTGTCATTAGCCACTATAAAAGTACTGTTTTGGTAAAAGGTCATTGTTAATTGGACTCAATGTATACTGCCTATTTGCAGTCTGTTACTGCAGTGCCTCTTAGCATAAATAATAGAGCTAGAAAATGTGGTCACTTTTCAATTACAGGAAATCTGGATTCTTATCTAAAAGTGTATATTATGATTAATATTGTACAGTTAACCAGAGTTCAGAACAAGTGGTGATGTTTTCTCTTAATTTAACTCATTCTGTGCCTTCTTTGGTCATTAAAACACCACACACATACTTTATATATATTCTAATATAAGTTATTTCTTTGTGAAATGCTCATCTGCAGCCCTTACCAAAAAAGGGACTAGGGCACCTCTTTGCACTACTACTATCAATAGATTTTTAAATCAGTTGGTTTTTTAATCATTTTTTAAAGCTTACATTCAAGTAAATCAAACAAAAGTTTAAACAAGCTAGCCAAGACACTAATTTGTATGTATAATCACGTTTTATATCTACCTTTATTAAGTAAAAATAATTACACTATACGTAAGTCCTGCACCAGAAGAATTCTTTCCTCTTGGAGTGTTTTGGGATTTGAAAATAATGGTTTACTCCCAGAACCTATTGTTTTCTCTACTGAGGAACCCAATGTAGAACTTGCACTGATGTTTTTATTACTGCCTTTAAAAGAATCAATTGGTATCTAAATGTTAAGGCATGTATGGTCTTTGATAAAGTATTTTATCTTTTCAAATTAATGTTGAATAAAAGTTTCAATATCTTGCCTTAAATTGGTTAATCGGTCTTTTCTAGGACTCCATTACTATGGCATATAAAAAAGAAAACATTCAATTTTGATACTTAGACTGCAGATCAAAAAGGACTGAAGCCACACTACTATAATTTATAGATTAACTTACATGCTGTTTGAGTAGCAGTGCAAATATGAATGAATATGGTAGTTAGTCTGATCTATAAGAACCAAAAACTTTAATTATGTTAAGGTAGTGAATAAAGATGTATAATTTTTTTATTAATACCTTGAATATATTCAGTGGATTGGTTGTGACTTCATAACTGTACTATAATTTTATTAAAATATTTCTGGAATAAAAGAACTCTGCTATCATTTCTTTCCTCGTCACCATATTACTGTTTTTGGTTCCAAACTTTGAGCTCACTGTTGCTGTTCTTTGCATTTTACCCAGGAGTTTATTAGGTTCAAATAATCCTGAATTTCAGAACTGACCTTTCAGTTGCCCCTAAAGATGTCCAAATATAGTGTGTCTGATTTCTAAGTGTGGTTCTTTGAAGGTCTGGATTGCCACTTGCCTAGAGCCCCATCACCATTTCACAAATTGAATGCTTCTGTGGGTATGGTCCCTAGCCTTTGGTAGTTTATTTAAATATTAAATAGTGTAGTAACAGCCATGTTATAGACATATCTACACAACAGGAAAATGTAGATTCTTCTAATACCCAGAAACCAGGAAAAGCAATAACTTAAACAATTAGAGCCAGTGGTTGTTTTTTTTGGGGGGGGGGAGGTAGGGGGGTGATAAACTCAGTTTCTGTCAGAAAAGAAAACCTATTTCACCTCTACTCTTTGAAAACACTTTATCATACAAATTTTAGACATACAAACTTAGACAACAGTAGAATGAATTCCATGAATGATCCCATCATATTCCTACAACAGTTACTACCTTAGGTCTAATCTTATTTGATATGTATTAACTAGGATGTGCCTAGATGTAGATATCTTTTTTTTCCATTTTAGAATTCTTAAATATATGGATCAGTAACTTGAGTTCTGAATAATTTAGTATGATTCTTCAATTAGCTATTCTATTCAACTGTTTAACCCATCCATTGAGTTTTAAATATTGGGTTGTTGTATTTTTCATTTCTAGAATAACTATTTGGTTATATTTTTTTTATTTGAATCATGACCCAGGAAAGACACTCACAATACTGACAAGATCAATGGGGAAAGAATTATCTTTTCAACAAAGGACAATTAGATACCCACATGCAAAAGATGAAAGAATAAAGTAGAACTCTTACAACATATACAAAAATTAGTTCAAAATGGATCAAAGACCTAAACATAACTAAAATTTTAAAACTTGGGAGAAAACAAGTGTGCATCTTTGTAACAATGGGCTAGACAAGGGTTTCTTAAGCATGACACAAAAAGCACAAGGGCCTTGGCCAGTGTGGCTTGGTTGGAGCGTTATCTACACACCAAGGGATGGTGGGTTCAATTCCTGGTTGGGGCACATGCCCAGGTTGCAAGTTCAATCCCTCGTCAGGGCACAACTGATCAATGTTTCTCTTCTCTCCCTCTCTCTAAAAAAAAGGCAGAAGCAACAAAAGAAAAACAGATAAACTGGGCTGCATCAAAATTTTAATATTTTGTGCATCAAAGGACACTATTAATAAAGTGAAAAGACAACTCACAGAATGGGAGAGAATAGTCACAAATCATATATCTGATATGACACAAATGGGCAAATGACTGAATACACATTCCTCCAAAATGATCAATCACATGAAAAGATGCTCAACACACCCTAGCCCCGTGGTCGGCAAACTGCAGCTCGCGAGCCACATGCGGCTCTTTGGCCCCTTGAGTGTGGCTTTTCCACAAAATACCACGTGTGGGTGCGCACGTACAGTGCGACTGAAACTTCGTGGCCCATGCGCAGAAGTCGGTATTTTGTGGAAGAGCCAGTATTTTGTGGAAGAGCCACACTCAAGGGGCCAAAGAGCCACATGTGGCTCGCGAGCCGCAGTTTGCCGAGCCGCAGTTTGCTGACCACTGCTAGCCGGTTTGGCTCAGTGGATAGAGCATCAGCATGTGGACTGAAGGGTGCCAGGTTCGACTGGGATCAAGGGCACATGCCCGGGTTGCGAGCTTGATCCCCAGTAGGGGGTGTGCAGGAGGCAGCTGATCAGTGATTCTCATCATTGATGTTTCTATCTCTCCCTCTCACTTCTCTCTGAAATCTGTAAAAAAATATATATATTTTTTAAACAAGATGCTCAACTTCAATAGTCATTGGGGAAATACAAATACAAATTATAGTGGGTTACTAATTCACACCCACTGGGATAGCTAGAATAAAAAGTTTGAGGGTGGCCCCAGCTGGTTTGGCTCAGTGGATAGAGCGTCGGCCTGCGGACTGAACGGTCCCGGGTAAAATCAATAAAATATATTAAAAAAACTAAATAAATAAAATTAAAAAATCAGGTTCCAATTTATGAAAGTTCTCAAAAGAAGCATGCCACATGTAAAGGCAACAGGGATATGACTATAAGGTAAACACCATTTGATTAAAGTTCAACACATTTAGCTACATACAGGCAGTCCTCGGGTTACGTTGGACTCCACGTACGTCGTTTCGTGGTTAAGTCGCCATCTCCCATTTATTTATATTAAAAAAAGTTTCATCATTTCAACGTATGTACATATGTGCTTTATGTTTTTTATTATTTATTTACCACAAGTAAAGGTCAGGAATTGTTATCTTTCTTTTAATTTTCTTACTGTTTCACTTCATTACTGCTGTGTATGTGCTCCATGTGAGTGACGTAGGTGCTTACATAGGTGGGTTCTGACTTACAGAGAAAACGCGTTGTGTCACACATAGGAACGGATCTCCACGTAACCCGAGGACCTACTGTATTTTGCTTTGATATTATTGATACAGACATGGCCAGATACAGTGAAAAACTAGTGGAGGGCTTAAACATGACTAAAAAAAGAAATCTTGAAATACCTGTTACAGCTTCTATCCCATAAATAAATATTTTAGTCAACATTCCTATATCCTTATTAGAAAAGTTGTACCGATTTTTTTCTTTTTTAACCAGAGTGGTATTCTCAAAACAATCCAGCACTGGGGTTGGTTACATCATAGACATCCCTCAGTATTTCCACTAGGAGACATAACTGGGATGTCAGGGGCTGAGGGCAGGCACGTCATTCCAAGCAATACTTAAGAAACTCGTGTAATTAAGTACGTAATTGACCTGACCCAAATTTGCCGGGGGCGGGGGCGCGGATAAAGGCCTTTCCTAGTGTAGGGTAACTCCACCAACCACTGCAGCTGTCTCCAGACCCCACTCCCAGTCCGGGATTCGAACCTGCACGCTCATGACGCCGGCAGCACCTTCAGACGCGCAGTCCCGGCTGCAGGAGGACTGAATTTCCGCCTCTGGCCTCGAGCCGCCTCAAAGACGGATGCATGCCGGGATGTGTAGTCCTGTTGATCAGGAATCCACTACCGCGTTGAAGTGCATTTCGGGATATGTAGTTGTTAGGCGGACGCCGAGGGTTACGCAGTGTGGCTCCGCCTCCCGCGTGCGAGGAAGCGGGGACGTGTGAGGTCACTTCCTGCGTGCTGGGTGGCTTCCTGCAGCGTTTCCAATTCACGCTCTCTTTTCCACTGCCAGTCCGCCGCCATCATGGGTCGCATGCACGCTCCCGGGTGAGCTCGGGTTTCCCAGCGGGTGCAGGGCTCGGCCGCGGGGATGGGGGTGGGAAGGAGCGAGTGTGGGCAGCGGGTTGAGGGGATGATGGCCTTGGCCGCTGTGGCACAGAGCGCTCTTTCATCCCAAGACTGCTTCTCTCCCCAGGAAGGGCCTGTCCCAGTCGGCTCTGCCCTACCGCCGCAGCGTCCCCACCGTGAGTAGCTTGCAGGGACCCGGGAGGCCGGGGAGGGGCGCACCATTCGTCGCTCCGGGGAAGTGGCGCGGGGCGGGGGCCATGTGTGCGCGAGGAGCGCGACTTCCAGGGTGGCGGGACCGCCCTGCTTCGGTACCGTCCCAGGTTTGCCATCCTAAGGCCGCTTTCTTTTCTGCAAACAGTGGCTGAAGTTGACGTCTGACGACGTGAAGGAGCAGATCTACAAACTGGCCAAGAAGGGCCTGACTCCCTCACAAATCGGTGCGTGGCCCCTTCCGCCTGCCCTCGTGTTAACTTGCCGGAAGGAGTGGTGCTGCTGGTAGTAAATGGGTCCCAAACGCGCCTGAAAACGTGTCTTTTTCCTGGTTTTACTCTTGATGACCCAGACCTAATCTTCAGATGTTGAAGTTCTCTGTAGGCGGTAAAGTTATTATAACGTCCTCCAGATTTTAATGAGTATTTACGGTGGGCTACTCTGCAGAGTGCATGGTCCTGAGCACGTTACATACCCTGACCTGTGATTTCTAACAGCAGTGCTTTGAGGTAAACACAAGTAGTTTTCCCCATCTTACAGCTGAGGAAACAGGCACAGTGTGGCTGTGTAACTGGCCTCAAATCACACAGCTCTTGGCTGCTCGAGTGCTTGTCACACCGTCTCAGTTAGATGTGGCTCGGCCCTCAGCCGTGTGTGACTTTGCAAGTGGCTTCATGCAGCAAATGTTTGCCTGCTGTGTGGTCCTGGACCCCGGGAATACATGCAGGAGTCAGAAAGGGGGCAAAATAATTGCCCTCCTGGAGCTGGTAGTATAGTGGAGGCATCACACAATAGGAAATACAGAGCAGACTGTCAAGTCGTCAGACGGTGCTGTTTTGAGGTTTTTAAAGAAATAAGGTACATTTTTTTATAAGAATAGCTGATGTTAATAAACATTAGCTGGTTTTAATTGAGCAAATAGACATACATAGTTGGAATCTTATTAATGGCTTTGATGTCCTTTAATCTGGCAAGCTCACTATGATGATGGTCTTCCAACATTCGCAGTTTCCACCAGAAGGGTTTTCCTTAGTGTTGGGTGAACCTTCCTTGGATGTCTGAGTGAGCTTTGCGTGAATTCTCACATTGGTTTCTGTGATGCATAAATATAAAAGTCAGTCCCATTTTACAGACGGGAAGCTTGAAAAGCTACTTGATCTCAGAACCTGGATGTCACATGCTCCAGGATGTGTGTTTGGTGTGGGAATTTATGATACAGTAGAGGCCTGATGCACGAAAATCGTGCAAGAGTAGGCCTGCCTTCCCCTGGCTGCCGGCACCAGCACCCAGGACCTGGGCTTCACTCGCAGCCTGGGCTTTGTCAGGAAGGTCCAGAAGGAGGTCTGTTCTAATCAGCATATTACACTCATTATATAGGATTGCTCCCTTTACAGGTGTGATCCTGAGAGACTCGCATGGCGTTGCACAAGTACGTTTTGTGACAGGCAATAAGATCCTGAGAATTCTTAAGTCTAAAGGGCTTGCTCCTGACCTTCCTGAGGATCTCTACCATTTAATTAAGAAAGCTGTTGCAGTTCGAAAGCATCTTGAGAGGAACAGAAAGGTAAGAGAATAGAATTGCTTGTGCTAACTTATTTCGGTAAAATGTAATGCATCTGATTCGGATTAGATAAGGTGGTTTAGAATTAAAATTCTACCAGAAGAGACTGGTGGAGGAGGTTTGGCTCTCCTAGTTACAGTATATTCAGTTGGTTGAAAATGTTGAGCTGTTTGTTGAGTTTTACAAATCATTCCTGCTTAGTCTTGTGGAAGGAAGCCTTAAATTCCCTTAAGGACTTAATGTACCACATGAACACAGGCATGTTCTCTATTAATGTTAAAATGTTTTGAGTGGTTTTCTTGAATTCTATCCATTTTTATTTTTAGGATAAGGATGCTAAATTCCGTCTCATTCTGATTGAGAGCCGTATTCACCGATTGGCTCGATACTATAAGACCAAACGAGTCCTGCCCCCCAATTGGAAATAGTAAGTATCAGTCTTATTTGTTCCAAGAACCAGAGTTAGCCAGATTGTAAATATACTGAAAGGACTGATAATAGTAATGTTTTAGCTCATGGCTATTTGTTCAACTGCTTTTTCAACTCTGCCATTGTAACAGGAATACAGCCATAGGTGATACATAAACAAGTGGATGTGGCTGTTTTCCATTGAAACTTTATTTGCAAAGACAAGCAAAGGGCCATAGTTTGAACCCCTGAGAGAGAGGAAGGGAAAGGGATAGAGAGATAGACATATGGATGAGAGAAACATCATCATCAATCGGCTGCCTCCCTATAGGGCCCCCAACTGGGATCGAGCCGGCATGTGCCCTGACCAGGGATTGAACTGGCAACCTCTTGGTTTCTGAGCCACATCAGCTGGGCTGAATCACTTTTAGGTAGTTGATAAAGTTTCAGTTCGTGCCATTGATCCTAGGTGTTTATGTTGTCTTTATTTTTGCATCAGTTGCTCACTGTGATGATTGATTTCCAAACATTCGCAGTTTCCACCAGAAAGGCTTTACCTTATGTTGGCCAGTTCTTCCTTGGATGTCTGAGTGAGCATCTTTAATTCATTATGCTTGAGCCACAATAAACTGACTCAAGAACTTAGCAGTTTGGTGCCCTTTATACATTTGGGATTATTTAGGCTGTTTGGAAATAACTCCATTAGCTGGGAGACTGTACGAATGAATGTGGAGGACCTGTGTTAACCCAGTCTTTTCCTTTTCCCCTTTTTTCCTTTTCAGCGAGTCATCCACAGCCTCTGCACTGGTTGCATAAAATATCTATGTACTCGAGCAATAAAATCATTGTTTAACTAGAAGTGTGATTTGTATTTCTTTCCCTTAAAAAATTGTGTACCAGTGAGATCATACATGTTGATCTTTTGATATGGGAGTGTTTTAGCAGAATTAGAATTATGTGGTTCCACAGAGAGCCATCTGTATCTGTTGCTTCTCATACATGCCCTGACTGGGAATCAAGCCCACCACCCGTTGGTGTATAGGACAAAACTCCGAGTACACTGGTCAGGGCTAGGATATGGCTCTTATTTGTTCAAATTACGTATATGTGAGCACTTAGGATTTGAAGGTTTCCTTTAAGAACTGTTCTCTCCATTTGTAAATCAAGTGGCAGGTGTTAAATTGAATTTTAAATTGAAGCTATGCATATATATGTGGCTTTAAAAGTCATACCAGTTTACAAGACTTAATTGAAAACAGTCCCATCCCTTTTGCAACCTGAAGTCTAGGGTGACTACAATTCAGCTATTTCTCTGATATATATGCCTTATTTCTGAATAACGTTTTGTGGGTTGGTTTGTTTTTTTCCAAGAACAAGTGAAATTCGCATAAAATTCACCCTTTCAAAGTGAGTAATTCAAAGGCATTTAGTATATTCATAATATACCACAACCATCACCCCTATTTAGTTGCAAATTATTTTCATCACCCCAAAAGTAAAACTCCATAGTCATAAAGCAGTTACTTGTTCTTCCCTCCCCCAGATCCTGGCAAACCACCCATCTGCTTATTGTTCCTGTGGGCTTACCTATTGGATATTTCATGTAAATGGAATCATACAATATGTGGCCTTTTTATGTCAGGCTTTCACTTAGCATGACTTTTTTTGGGTTCATTCATGTTGCAGCATGTATCAGTACTTCATTTTTATGATTGAATAATATTCTGTAGGTACATACCATAATGTGTTAATTGATGGATATTTGGCTGTTTCTAATTTTTTGCTCTTGAACAGTGCTGCTATGAACATTCATGTACATGTACTTGTTTTGAGCCCCTGTTTTCAATTTTGGATATATATTTAGAAGTAGAATTGCTCTAAATAATATCCTTGTACTATGATTTCTTGGTTTTTAATCTAGTAGCTTCCAAAGAAAAGGCTCAATCCTTGGACCTCATTTTTTCTGTTTATGCCAATTCCTAGGTAATTCCATCTAGTCTTGTGGCTTTAAAAGATATTTTTGAGGTTATTGCACTAAAATTCATACCTCAGCACAGACCTTCCCTGAACTCTAGCCTTAGGTATGTGTCCTATACAATATCCCTACCTGGATATCTAATAAACACCTGGACTTTATTTCAAACTGAACTCTTGATTTTTTTTTTAAAATATGTTTTATTGATTTTTTACAGAGAGGAAGGGAGAGAGATAGAGAGTTAGAAACATCGATGAGAGAGAAACATCGACCAGCTGCCTCCTGCACATCTCCTATTGGGGATGTGCCCGCAACCCAGGTACATGCCCTTGACCGGAATCGAACCCGGGACCTTTCAGTCCGCAGGCTGACGCTCTATCCACTGAGCCAAACCGGTTTCGGCAACTCTTGATTTTTGATCACCAAATTCTCTTGGCTCTACCTTATCACCTCTACTACAGCCACCCTATTCTGAGTCACCTCTTACCATTACTACTGTAAAAGCCTCTCTTTGCCACCTGTGATCCCCACCAGGTCTTTTCCACATCCAGCATCTAAGATGATTTTTCAAAGTGCAAGTCACGTGGTATTCCATATGCTCAAACACCTCCAGTGGTTCCCATGTCATTCAGAATAAAATCTAAAATCCTTATCTTGCCCTACAAGCAGGGTCAGGATCCTGCAGGAAACAGATGTACATCACACTTAAATTGAGGGATTTGGAGTGTCTTAAAGGAATTCTAAAAGGTATGGGTGGTGCCAGCTTCCCAGGCAACAGAGCAGGGTAGAGAGTGGGTCTGGAGGGCCCCTGTGATCTGACCAGCTACCTTTGCCAGTTGCATGAGCCTGGCTTCACACTCTTCCCAGGGCCATTGCCCTTGTTAATTTCTCTGCCTGGGAGGCTCTTCCACCAGATGTCCATAAAGTTTGCTCCTACATTTAGGTCTCTAACCTCACCAGAAAGGCCCTTTAAAAAGCACCCTCCCACCCAGCACTCCATCTCCCCAATCCTGCTGTTCTTCAGAGTACTGAGTACTACCTAAATTATTATATCGATATTTTCAGGGTATGAGTAAGCCCCATTAGAACAGGGATCTTGTTCACTACTATATCCCTAGTATTTAGAATGTGTGACACATAGTAGGTTCTTAATACATGATGGTTAAATTAGTGCATATAAAAGATGAAAATTTGAGATTTTGGAAGTTTTTTTTCAACTGTCACTGTTGAAAGAGAATTGGACTGGGAACAGTTGCTAGGCTGGAAATAATCTATACTAAATAAAAGCCTAAGTGACCCTCGCATGTGATATCACAAGATGGCCATCACGCGCACAGTGAAGGCCGGTCCTGGCATCTCTGCCGCCTCCCACAGAGGAGGCAGGACCTGGCGGAGGAGGCGGTCGCGTCAGGGGAGGGCAGTTGGGGGCGACCAGGCCGGCAGATGAGGACAGTTGGGGGCCATCAGGCCACCAGGGGAGGGCAGTTGGGGACAATTGGGCCGACGGGAGCAGTTAGGGGGCGGTAAGGCTGACAGGTAGAAGCGGTTATGGGCAATCAGGCAGGCAGGCAGACAAGCAGTTAGGAGCCAGCAGTCCAGGATTGTGAGAGGGATGTCCCTGAGGGGTCACAGATTGGAGAGGGTACAGGCCAGGCTGAGAGTCCGTCCGTCCGTCCCGTCGTCCCCCCCCCCCCCCTGTGCATGAATTTCGTGCACTGGGCCTCTAGTGTGTGTGTGTGTGTGTATGTATGCCTAAGTGACCGTCCGACTGGTAGCTATGACACACACTGACCACCAGGGGGCAGATGCTCAATGCAGGAGCTGCTGAGTTGCAGTGACTTGGCAGCTGTGGTTCTCGGGGGACGCACCCAGAACCAGAGAGGAGGGATCCCAATTCCAGGGTGCATCACCCAAGAACTTCCCTCTCGCAATCCAGGACCCCTCGGGAGATGTCAGAGAGCCAGTTTCGGCCCAATCCTTGTAGGCCAGGCCAAAGGACCTCACTGGTGCATGAATCTGTGCACCAGGCCTCTAACCCATTGGCTCCCCACTTCGGGTCTGGCTCCCCACTGGGCCTCTAGCCCAGTGGTCAGCAAACTGCGGCTCGCGAGCCACATGCGGCTCTTTGGCCCCATGAGTGTGGCTCTTCCTAAGCCTTAGGAGTACCCTAATTAAGTTATTAACAATGCACCTACCTATATAGTTTAAAAAATTTGGCTCTCAAAAGAAATTTCAATCGTTGTACTGTTGATATTTGGCTCTGTTGACTAATGAGTTTGCTGACCACTGCTCTAGCCCATTGCAGAGGTCGTGGGTCTGGCCCTTACAGAAACTTTTCGACTCGATTAGCTAAATGAGACATGCAGGACCTACTGCCTGCTGCCCCAACATCTGGCACCCACACCGGCCCATCCACTTGATACATACTGATTTCCAGTGGGGGCAGCGAATTTTCCTGCTATCCCTCTCAGCTGGGAAATCAGCCTTGGCTTCCCTCCTTCCGGGTGGACAGGGTGGACAGTAGCGCCAGCAGGCAACCTTCAGGGAGGGAAGGAGGCAAAGGAGCAGCTCAGGTGGGAAGAAGGAGGTTCCTGCTGCCACAGGACTCCACCTGGGCAGAAGGACCTGGGCAGGAGCCTGACACTGAGCAGGGTCCTGCCCTAGGCCAACTAGATTCCAGGCCAAGTAAATCCTGTTTGCTAAATAATTGCATTTTGCAGCTAAATGCCCATAAGTCATCAGTTACCACCAAACACAGGGTAAAGTGAGATGAAAGAAGCAAGACAGATACAGAGAGAAAGTGACATAAAATTGGGAGAAGAGAGGAGGGAGCCCGATTCCAGGGTGCATCACCCAAGAACTGCCCTCTCGCAATTCGGACCCCTCGGGATGTCAGAGAGCTGGTTTTGGCCCGATCCCCGCAAGCCAGGCTGAGGGACCGCACCGGTGCACTAATCCATGCACCAGGCCTCTAGTTTTTCATAAAAATGTTACCACTGCTTATTGTATCTAGCGTAAAAAAACACACCAACCTGCTATTGAGAAGTGATTTCCACTCCTTTTGTTTTTAACCTGATTTTTTCCCTAACATGATGTTTTTAGGGTCATCTATTGTTTGGTGTTTTGAGAGTTGCAATAATACTTTGGTTTTATCTTTTTCGTTTGTTCTGCAAGGTACTCAAGCTATTTCAGTTTCAGAATTGTCTTGCAGTTCTCGAAATTGTCTTGAACTATTCCTTTAATATTTCTTCCACTCTATTTTCTGTGTTCTCTTTCTGGAACTCATTATTTGCACTTTAGACTTTCTGGACTGATCCGCTAATGTTTTCTCATCTTTGAACAACCATTGTCCATCTCTTTTCCTACTTTCTGAGAGGTTTCAACTTTATCTTCCAGTCTTTTTTTTTTTTTTTTTTAAATATATTTTATTAACTTTTTACAGAGAGGAAAGGAGAGAGATAGACAGTTAGAAACATCGATGAGAGAGAAACATCAATCAGCTGCCTCCTGCACATCTCCTACTGGGGATGTGCCCGCAACCCAGGTACATGCCCTTGACCGGAATCGAACCTGGGACCTTTCAGTCCGAAGGCCGACGCTCTATCCACTGAGCCAAACCGGTTTCGGCTATCTTCCAGTCTTACTAAGATTTTTTATTTCTGCCTTCATATACTTAATTTCCCAGAGCCAGTGGCATTTTTGGTAAATGTATATGTGTGTGTGTGTGTGAATGTATGTATATGTATGTATGTATGTGAGTGAGTGTGTCTATATATATATATATATATATATATATATATATATATA